ATATAGACAACTCAAAACTCAAGGACTTAGTTCACAACTATAATTAATTTTAAAAAAAAATCTCAAATTTGACCCAAAAGGACCTCTTGAACTTTCCTCTTAACTTTACTTTAATTCAAAAGGTAAATTAACAGATGTGATTGGGATTTGTAGGATCTCTCAAGGATTAATGAAGACTTTAAGAGTTAATATCAAGAAGAGAAAAAAAACACGATTTGAAAGAACACACAAAGGATAAATAACATAGAAGAAATGGGTCTAGCGACCCTGGCGCATCAGTGACGCATCGCACCAGGCCTCAAAGTACGGCCTCAAAGTACTGGGAGTACTTTGGGGTGCACTACTGGCGCTTTGGGGGCGCATTGCCCCAGCCCAAACCCAGAAATCTGACGATTTTTCTTGTTCAATTTCGGGTCCTAACTCATCTAGAATCGATTGGTTTCTTCCAAACTCTCTTTGTTTCATAAACCCAACACAAATTCATTGAAATCTCACTCAAATTCTATCAAGAAACGCCACTCACTCGCAAGACCCTCACCTCAAGAACTCAAAACCTCCATTGATAAAGAATGGGCTAAAACTCAAGAACTCTTCAAGAATCTTTACATAAACGATTTCATGGACAAATTAATGAAGGAATTACGTGATTGACGTGAGGAAGAAAAAGTCCATCACTATGGAAAACCTCACATACCTGGAAAAAATGATTGTTCTTGGCGAAATTCCTCAACTCTTGAACAAACGCTTGAAAACTCTTTTTTCTCTTCTTGAAACCTCGCTCTAAAAACCCTATGTGTTTTGAACGTAAATGAGTATTTTAGAATCTAATTAAACCCTTAATTGAGTATGGAAAAACGTGCTAAGACAAGTGGGCAAAAGGAAAAGACCAAAATACCATTTCCTAAAAGGAATGGAAAGCCTTAAATGAAGAGGCTTCACTGAAATGAGCATAACTTTTTACTCGGAGCTCAAAATTTAGCAAACTTGGTGGTGTTGGAAAGAGGACTCAAAATCCTTCGATTTGATAGCTCATCGGTTACCTAATTCTTTATGTGCTAAAATATATGGTCGATTGAAGTTGACCCAAAAAAATTTCATAGTGAAACTCAATTGGAAAGAAAGATTTCAACTCAACTTTATGTTAGGGAATTCTAGTGACCTTAACACCTAGGAAAATTTAGAATCACTAAATACAATCATATTCACAATGAAGAATTATTTGAGTCTTAACTCGGGATGTTACGTAAATATTGAAATGTTATTTGTAATATCTTTTTTCATAAATATATGTACTTTTAATTATTATTATTTTTTTAAAAAAAATATTTTCTTTCTTCTCAACATAGATAAAAAAATTTACCACTTGTTATCTTTAAGCCGATGTAGCCACCACCATATTCACCGGATTCACCATGGTTGATTTCGAACAAGTTTTCAAACTCTCATATAAAAAACTTGCAAAATCAATCTAATCAATTATAGATGAAGTGACATATATTTATATTCCCCAAAAGGACTTGATCTAGTTTGAAAAAAAATCAATTTGAATTTAAATCAAATTTATTTGAACCCCAAAGAAAATTCTTTTATTATTACTAATAGATCATTTAATTATCCCGGTCTAGTAATATCACGTGAGTGAAGAAGGATAGTGCCGCTTGTAAAGCTCTTTCGTCGAGTGCGTGATCATGAAAGGATTTGAGGAAGAAACCCCAGCTAACTCCGTGCCAGCAATCGCGGTAAGACGGGGAGGGGGGGGGGGGGAAGTGTTCTTCGG